GAGGCTCCCTCTGCACAGGAGGCCCTTTCTGGACAGGATTCAGGAGGCCCCCTCTGGTAGGCGACCCTTGATGGGCAGGAGTCCCCTCTGGCAGAGTACCTTTAATGCTTAGGAGGCCCCTTCTGGATGGGACGCTCCCTTTTGCACAGAGGGCCCTATCTGGGCAGGAGGTGGGAGGCCCCATTTGGCAGGAGCTCCTTTATGGGCAGGATACCCCGAGGCTTCCTCTGTACAGGACCCTTTCTTGGTGGGAGGCTACCTCTGCACGAGAGATTCTATGCGGGTAGGAGCCAGGAGGCCCCCTTCGGCAAGAGATCGTTAATACACAGGACTGGAAGCCCCTTCTAAATGGGAGACTCCCTCTGCACAGAGGCTCTATCTTGGGATGAGCCAGGGGGCCTCATTGGCAGGAGGCCCTCTACATGTAAATGGGACGTTTCATCTACAGGACACCGTCTCTGGGCAGGAGACCCTATCTGGATAAGAGGGTTGGCTTCAAAATAGGTTGATGTTAGAATGATATGCTTCCCATAAAAATTCCTCCTGCTCAAGAACTGCTGTGAAAATATTTTCTGAACCTGGAAGCGAGAATGATCCTAAGTAAAAACTTTTCTTTACCTTTAGAGGTAAAGTCGATTGTGGGAAGTAAAACTAGTATCAGGTTCTGGCGAGTCGATCGGTGCCAGTTTCAGTCCTCTACCTCCACTGGGTGGGCCACAGTCTGCTGCGCAAATTTGGGGTCGTTACCTTTGTTGACCTCTGTAGCCCAAATGGCTGGGAGTAACAGACAGCAAGTGATTTGGGCCACGTATTCCACACCTTAACCCTCGCCGGCACAGGCCATTTTGCGTCCTTCGACGGCACAAGGGGGGGGGGGGGGTTGGTACGACCCCCCTCGCGTTTGGCCCCTGATCGAGCTAGAGCTTCGCGGAAAAAAACGAGCGTGCTTGCCCGTCACGAGACGGAAGCCGATGATACCCAATTTTAAGGTCCTAGGTCATCGGGTGACCTTCCAGGTCAGGTCAATGACCCGAAAACCGGGAACATCGGGACCTGTTATAAAGTCGTAAAGTGTGGCTGCTATGTGGTTTTCCGGGGTGCTGATCACGAATATCGTGTTAGTTTTGATCAGAGTTGATGTCTTTAAGCATTTAGACCAGGTCGGGTCAGGTCAGGTCAGGTCAACCGGTAGGGGTTGTGACGGGTATTCGTAATACGTGTCAACCACCTCTGACAGCTTCGTAACATGTTACGAAGGCACCAAAACTACTTCGTTAATGTTCAAATGGTTGCTAAATTCGAATTCAGCTAAAAAAAACTGGCCTAGAAACATGTAAAACTCGAAAAAGTGAACCGAGGTCACCCGAGGTCACCAAAGGTCAATTACCTGACCTGATCTTCAGGTGACCTTGACATCCACCCTAATGCATGGGAGCAACATCAAATCACATGTTTGAACGTTGGAAACCACGAAAAGCTAGCAAACGCGCGGCTAATGCGAGCCGACATACGCCGAATCGCGATTCGGCCAAACATGGTCTCGGAAAAGAGGTCACAGGTCAAAGGTCATTTGGGTCAGGGTCATGAAATTTTCAGGGTAGGTGTAAAATTGATCCATGCGAGGGTACTGAAAGTTTCGTCGCGATCGGCCGCTTTTTACGCGAGTTATTCGCGAAAAACCTTAGGGGGGGGGGGTTACGCCATGTGGGGGAGGCCTCTGGTAGACGACCCTTGATGAGCAGGAGGCCCCTCCTGGATGTGAGGTACCTTCTCCCAGGAGGCCCTACCTGGGCAGGAATCGAGAGGCCCCCTCTGACAGCAGATCCTTCGTGGGCAGGAGACCCCCGAGGCTCCCTCTGCACAGGAGGCCCTTTCTGGACAGGATTCAGGAGGCCCCTCTGGTAGGCGACCCTTGATGGGCAGGGGCCCCTCTGGCGGGGGATTTTTATGCACAGGATTTTTATACTTTGCTACACCGGTTAATCTCAGCAAGTAAGAAAGCTAAAAAGACGCGGGGAAAACAATGGATTGCTCGCTATGAGATCTTTTAGAACCAGTATAACGCCTTTTGGGGCGACTAACGGAGCGAGCGAGAGGGTGGGCCTTGCACGTGCGAAATTGCGAGGAGGTACCTCCAACTGACTTGTGCACGGCACCCTACTAACCGGTCTCTAGCGATGTGCCAAATTTGAGCGCAATCGGCCCAGCCGTTCTCGAGATCTGGAAGCGACACCCTGCACGTGCGCACGTGCAAAATGGGTCCCGACTGACTTGCACGGCACCCTACTAACCGGTCCCTAACCGTGTACCAAATTTGATCGCCATCGGTCCAGCCGCTCTCGAGATCTGGAAACGCCCCCTGCACGTGCGCATGTGCAGTAGCACCCTAACCGCAACACATTGGGAATGCATTGCCTGGTGGGTGCCTACCTGTATGCCAAGTTTCAGCGAAATCGCCCCAGTAATTACCGAGTTACTGAAATGGGAACAAATTTGGCACCTCTTATTGTTGTATTTTGCACGTGCAGTGGGGGTCACTCACATAGATGAAAAGTATCCGACCTTTGGTAGAAGGGATGCAGCTACCCTATAAAAATGACCGCAAGACAATCGCTCAAGCTGCTGCTGAGATATGGGCCTCTCAAAATCATTGCTTTTGCAAAATGCTTGAACACCCTTGACTTTTCACGTGGCACGTGCCACGGCGGTCACTGAGATGTATTCTTGTATTCTTGTATTTTCATAAATCACCAACAGGCTTACGCCCAATGACAGGTGAAGTCATACGCACACGCATGCATCAACATGCATAAATACCCCCCCCCCCCCACACACACACAAACCACTTCTTTGCATCCGACAGAGGCCGACTGTCACATAACGCACGCCAGTGTTGACGCATACGCCGATGCCTCTCGCTTGAGCCGCCCGATCGAGTCAAAGAAAATATCTGACCTAGGCGAGAACTCAAGAAACTGATTGACGCAGCGAGGAATGCGCACAATAAGCCCTCCTGATATGGTGTTCACCCTGGCGAACGGCACATCAATGAATGGTGTGTTTCTGGTTGGCCTCGCGGATATATGGAGCTTAAAAGACCCAATTAAATATGATGATGAGATGAAGCCTTTAAACACCTTGCATAAAAACAGAACATCACACTTTGCGCGTCGTGCTCCTAAGTGTGGCACACGAAATGATGACAATAGGTCCGAGTACTTGAGCGACGAATTTCGTGGTGCGACAAGCCAGCCACATCAAAAACTTGTGTTGCACCCTCTCCACACGAACGAGATGAGATTTGGCCACTCCGCCCCATATCACTGAACAGTACTCGACCACAGATCGAACATTGGCGTAATAAGCCGCCAACACGGCCTGCCTGTCCAGCTTACACTTGGGGGAAGCCGACTGGAACGTTCGAATGAGGAGCCCGAGCGCTCTATTAGCCCGTGTGACCACTGAATGCACGTGATCGGCGAAATCTAGCTTTTGATCAAGAATGATGCCTAAATTTCGGATCGATGTGACATTTTCCAAAATAGTGCCATTGATCGAATATGTCGAGTCAATGGGGCTACGTTTAAGTGTGATTTTAAATGACTTGCATTTGGAGCTGCATTTAGCTTCAATTTCCAGTCGGCCGCCCAGCGTGTCACTGCGTTCAAGTCCCAGCGTGTCGCTGGAGCGTCTGAACATCATCATCGGACCTAACCTCGTGAAACAACTTCAGATCGTCAGCAAACAGCAAACAGCTGGCGGAAATAACAGTTGGCAGGTCATTCACATAGAGAGAGAACAGCAACGGAGAGATGTGACCCCCTTCCGGTGTTCCAGACACAACCGGAACCCACTCGGACACTTTCCCGTTCAACACAACGCGTTGTTTGCGCCTCTCCAAGTAGGACCTCAACCACTGCAGAGCGTTGCCGTCAACGCCGTACATCCTTTCGAGCTTATGCAGTAGCAAACAATGATTGACACTCTGAAATGCGCTGCTAAAATCTGTGTACGCGGTATCCAGCTGGGATTTGTTTGAGATGGCCGCCCATCCGTGCGACAGGAAGGACGCGAGGTTCGTGGCGCATGACCGGTTTGGGACGAATCCGTGTTGGAACGGAGAAAGGTGAGGCTGGACATGTTGGAAGAGTTGCTCGCTTACAATCTTTTCAAAGACCTTTGCACATAGGGGAAGAAGCGATACAGAACGGTAGTTAGCTGGATCGTTCCGCGATCCTTTTTTGAAAATGGGAACTATGTTGGCTTCAGACCACTTTTCAGGAAAGATACCGGATGAAAGGGATATGCGTAAAAGTTTACACAGAGGGGCGGCCAATTCATTTGCACACTCACGGAGAATGCGGGCGCTCAATCCGTCAGGACCACACGCCTTGCTTGAAGCCTTGCGGGAGAGCTCCCGGAGTAAACCACGCACAGCCTCCTCCGACACATTGAATTCCGACAGACGGGGTCAACACAGAAGGAACGTTGGGGGAACGGCGACGTGGGGTGGAAAATTTCGAAGCAAATGTGCAGTTTTAGCAGAAGTCGTCAATGTATCAAAATGTATCAGTCATGTATGTATCAAAGTAGTCATTACGGGTAGAAGGGAGGGGCTACCCAGCAAAAAAAGACCGCGCCATTCGGCCAGCGGTTGCTGAGATATAAGCCTCTCAGAAGCGTTACAGGCCGGCCGGCCGGGCCGCATTACTGAGATTTTTCCGTTACCTATATTGAAAAGACTTCGCTTCGCTCGCTGCGCTCGCTCGCTCGTAATGAGCCTCCATTATTTACGTCGTGTAGGTATTCTTGTTGACAAACCAAACCATGCCATGGTATTATTCAGAGATATTTTATGGATCATCAATTACTAAGGAATTATTCAATTATTGGTGGTGATAACTCTGCAACTTTGCCATTTTCTTGCTACATAACTTCTCCCTTTGTGCTTTTATCTAGTCACTCAATGTGAATGACAATCAACGTTGGACCCCATCCAGATCCACCAGTGTCTGAATTACTGCCGCTCATGCGGGCTGCATCAACGTCACCAGAAGGACCAAATGGTCTCGGAAGGGCTCCCTGACAGCGACGGAATGGGGTCCTTCACAGAGTCTGAGGCACTCCCAGAGGGAAAGTGATTCCACTCCCATAGACAGTGGCTCTGAGAGCGACTTTCGGCCAGTTGTGAAGGAGGAGATAAAGATTGAAGTCACTTCACCAAGGGTAGTTTATAAATGCATGGTGATCACTCCATTGTTTTTGTTTTTGTTTTTTGTTTTTACGCAAGGTTGATAAAAGGGAATGGCAGCGCAAAATTGTTCAATTTTCATTTTTGTGGTTGAAGAGCATCTAATGTTTAATTGAATATGTTGGTCTCTTGATCCGGTCTAGGTTGAGCGGCCGTCGTCTCCCTCGGTGTCGACGACGATCCTTTGTCGGACAAAGCTCTGCAGTCTCTGGTGAAGGAGGAAAAGTTCCGACCTAGATCGCCGTCACCGTCTGAGGACTTCTTGGGGTTCACTGAGTGGATCGAGACAGGTGAGCATGACTCAGTGTGCTGAAATTGAGTAGTTATTTGACATTCTAGACTATCCATTTGATGAAATGATATATATTTGTGGTGCTTCTTTTTCAGGCTTGTTCATGTCCAATGTAAAAGGGATATGCTACTGGGATGCCCGTCGGACAGTGAAGACTCGGCAGAAGTAAGTTGACAGATGTCAGGAAAATGCATTTTCTCTCTCTTTATCATCGACCTTTGTATTGTCCTTTTGCAGACAAATTGTCAGTTTTTTAATTTTATTTGATTTAGACTCTACAAAGTGATGTAGTGGTCTGACAGTCATACGTTCTTTTGAATTGGGCCCTGAGATTAATGCCACCCAATCATACAAAACCATTCATTGTATTTCATTGCAGTCTTTGCCGAAGGAGAGTTCAGAAGAGTCCACGTCTCGTCATAAACTACCGTGATGTGGATGGTCTCGATGATGGTAACTATGTGAGGTATTCTCCTCCTTTTAGTCATTACAACTTTTCTCATCAACGGAGGAATTTACATGATAAGAGTCACAAAATTGCAGACAAATAAGAACCACCAAACACGTACTGTTTCGGTGTACAGAAACGTAATGATAAAACCGTACTGTATCCTCCATCATGTCAATAATACTTTTCCGCCCTATTTTCTGACAGTTTGTGACGTGTGCTGCCGCGATTGGGACGTGAATGTCGTCCATGGACGCTAAAGATATACCGATACCAAGGTAGGGACTATCCTCCATGAAGTCCATACCTATTATCTCTGTTCATGTTTTGTGTTGTTCTGTTAGTTATCAGTAGGTGCCCCCATATTCAACATTTAATTTTGAATATGTTCGATTTGGTGCTAAATTGCAAATGACAATAGGTGCATGTGGAAGTTGTCGATTTTTATATTACAAAACTTTCTTGACAGTTATTGCCTGTGCTGCAATTTTGTCGATACTGACATGGATGCGACCAGTTAACAGTTCTATGATCTTTGTTCCGAAAACATGCCGGCTGATTTCTATAGGTAAGTATAAGGATAAGCTCATTCCTGCATTATATCATCCTCTGTCGACATTGCGCCTACATAGGTACTAGAGATGTCATCGGATACGAAACTTTTTGGTATACCGATACCAAACCGATACCATTGGTATTTGGTATTTCAACCGTAATGTGTTGGTATTTTGTTGGTATCCTAAGCCCTCACATGTATAAGCGGCTAGAAATCGGTAAAAAGTTGGTATTTCCCTCAGTTTCCAAGTTGGTTTGGTTTCGGTATTTTCCGTGGTTTTGGTTGGTATTTGGTTTGGTATCGGTATTCCGATTATCCGATTGACATCACTATAGGTACATTACTATTCCAGGCACGACCCAGTATCGGAGATGCCGACAGGACGTCAAGACCCTGCCGCCTTCCGCTTGGTCAGTCGCGAAATCCAGCGTCTGGCACCGGTAAGTTAATGAGGCAAGACAATGGCGAGGCGTTTAGCAACTGCTGTATCATTTGGTAATGGTGCTTGTATTGCATATTTGGTGTCCCGTGTATCAGTACAGTCATGTGTTTCTATTTAGGTGATTTCAAGTTATGCGTTTATTTGATTCCAGGAGTTTTGGCAGAAAAGGACCTTCCTGCGCGCCAAAGACTCGGTCCTACGAGGTATTTGACCACCGAACAGGGTCAGGCTCGACCACCGGGTACAGATGGCAGGTCAGTTTTGTCATTTCTGTCGAATCTCCTCTGCTATTCTTGCGAATACATATTTTGCTGGTTTCATATATGTTAAGAATATAGCGTGGCCCCATTGCTTTTACACTGTCACATGTCGCATCTCTTACTATGAGTCATTTAGACGAGTAAAAACTTTTAGAAACATTTCAAACTAATGTTAGAAACATAGAAAATTGACAATGTTTTCATTGCATAGTGATATTTTTGTTTTGGTCCCAGGATTGATGTGATATTTTTGTTTGGTTCCTTGAATTGATGGACTAGTTTTTGTTTGGTACCCCTCAGATCAAGAAGGGTGACCGGGTGCATCACTCGGTGAATGCCGAAGACCCGAGCTGCAGCAATGGCTCAGAAGGGTCAACTGTGCCCGCTCGGAGGAAGAACAAAACCTAGTGGCCTTCCAGTACCGGGGTCAGATATATTCAGGTGTTGTTGTCTTGAAATCCAGGATCTGTCCTATCAAACTGCGTGTTATATTTTGTGGCAGTTTGCCTTATGGTACCTGCAAATTTTCTCATAGATTCATCTAAGTTTGATGACCATTGCTGTATTGACTGGATAAGTCATGTCATGACCAATTGTGATATATTGATCTCCCTATGAGGACGTCAAAGCCCGTTCGCGCGGGGCTGAGCTGTGGTGTACTAACGGAGACGACTCGGCCCGGGAACTGACCGTCCACGGAGACTTCTGGCAGTCTGTGACTTCCTCTCCGGCCGGACCGTCATCTTCAGTCAGTTCATCGTTGGCGGCTCCGAGGGCTATGGCGTCCATCGAAAGGATCCTGGAGATAAATTTACTTTCCTACGACACTCTTGACTATGCTCTTGTCCGGTCCGTTCATTTTTGTTTGTTTTGTTGGGTCCTGGCCCTTTCTGTCCTATAAGACCATTTCAGAGGCCGGAAGGATGATAGGGATTAGGGAAGGCATTGGTCCTGGAGGCACCCCATGAGTCTGGGCTGAGCCGTCCGGTTGGACAGGCCGCGTAACCCACTGGCACTCACTGCAACCCGGCTACGGGCTAGCTCCAGTGGAGCCATTCCCGTAGGGTATAGTTCCCGTCCAGCCGGAGCAGGGGTGTTTGAGGCGTGGAGGAGAAGGATTTGACTGTCCTGAGGATGGAAACGACGGAACGGGTGGTCCGTTCAGTTGCCAGATGATCTAATGTAGGTATGTATGTAGCTTGATGTATATTTACCAAACTACATGGTTTTGGTCTGTTGAACTGACCATTTCGGTTTTGCGATCTAATCCTTGCGCTTGAAGGTGAGCGGATTGCCTCTGGTTTTGGTCAATGGTTCCCGAAAGAAACTTTAAAGGAAGGGTGCCACCTTTTGGACACAACGCAGTTTTTACAAGATTAGCCTCACATGAACCTAAAAACCGGCTTCACTTACCTATGCTCGAGACGGTCAGCATTGAATCCGCACGTGAAGTTATCATTTGCGAGTTTTGCTGCCAGCATTCGGGCAGGCAAAAATCTTCAGCACTATTTCCTCGTCGTGTTAAGGGTATTTTATAAAACATGAAATCAGCAAAGGTATGGATAAAAGTTATACTTTTGAAGCATGTTTTATCATTTTGAAAGGGTATATTTTTTCTTTATGGTATACACTTAAGTTTTAAAATTTTAATTGGGAAGTTTTTCTAGTAAGTTGCATGAAGGGTGAAGGGTTCCATAGATCTCTTAAGCATTGTAAAGGAAAAACCTTTACTCGACTTATTTGATGTTCTTTAACTGTTGGCAAATATGGCCAACAGTTACCTACTTGGTTACCTACAACTTAGTTCAAATCATGTTATCTTCTTCCTTTTTATTTGTTCATCTTTTTGTCTCAGTTGCGCCATCAATGCAAATGGCAGAATGATATGTTGCCATGACAACAGGATATGCCAGCCGTCCTAGCTGCCACATCAAACGACCTTGAGTTGTAGTGGTGATATAAACAACGATCTTTTTTTTTTGGCCAATGTATTAAATGCAATGTTTCGGTTTTTTGTATATTGTGGACGCGCTAACCACGTCTAAAAATTCAAATAAGTAAAATAGATTCATAGAACAAAAATTTCGGAAGGTGGCACCCTTCCTTTAACATATTGTTCAGTAACATATATTTGAACATTTAGCCCTCGCTGGGTCGGGGGGGGGGGGGGTGTTTGACCCCCGTCTTGTTTTTTCGGCGTATATATATTGCGTATCGAGCGTTTAACACTTTCTTCGCCGTGTTTTCGAGTTCTCGGACTATTTTCTTGTATTCTCTTGGGTATTCAGACACGATAGTTCCAAAATAGGTCCCACTGTATTGATGAGTATGCGACGTTTCGTTCATAATAGAACATCTTCAGGCTAAATTAAAAGTACATATTTACAAAATTATACGAAAAGCTGCTTGACTGTGACTCTAAAAGTAGGGGAGTGGGGAAAGATGCCCAGGGTTTTACTATGTCATATATTATTCGAAAATGACGATCGGAAAGCAAAAACTTGGAGTTTCAACGGAAGTCGACATCATTTTTCTCCAAAAACATCACACTTTCGTGCCTGAAATATGATAACTTTTTTTGCTATAAAGCATTTTCCTGAAGAAGTCAAAGGGGGCATCTTACCCCACAGGGTGGGGAAGACGCCCCCTGGCGTTGGGGAAGATGCCCCCTGCACTATAAGTGACATAAATGGGCACGTGAATCGCCTGAACGAATCAGTAGTCCCTTCGAGCCTGCAGTAGACACCAAACGTCATCGTAAGGGCCCTCAAAAGTGGTCGTAAGGTGCTTCAGAGGTCATCGTTAGGGTCATCATAGTCCAGCGCGGCCAAACAAGC